CCCAGTCAAAATTAGAAGCAGTGTAGGAGCTGGGCCGGCGCTGAACCAAGAGCATGATAGAAGCATGAGGCAAGCAGGAATCCAGCAAGGATGTCCGCTTATTACGGGGCCCAAAACGTTCTGCGTAAGGCCTTATTTGGGCGCTGGAATATTTGGCCCGTATCGCCGGGTAATTTGTCGCTTAAATTCGCGGCGATCAAGAAATTTCTTCTAAACTACAGAACAGATTTCAACGAAACTTTGTATATAAATACCTAACCTCTCAACGGTGATGTCTAGCTCGTGACAATTTTTCTATTTTGCTTTCGTTTGCGAGTTATACAGATATAGGAGGAACGACCGGCTTTTCTACCGGCCGGTTTAACCAAGATCGAGCCTTGTACCTACAGCCGTATAACTCGCAAACGAAGGCAAAACGAATAAATTGTAAACATCACCATTGCTGAGGTTAGGTATTTAAATACTAAGTTTCGTTCAAATCTGTTTCAAAAGAATTTCTTGATTAATGCGAATTTAAGCACGTATTGCTGTTTGAACCACGAATGAAGGTGAAAAGAAAAGAAAATCTCTCGAACGAAGGCACAATCGAAAAAATGTTCACGAGCTGAACTTTACCGTTAGGTAGTTACGACTGCAAATTAAAAATTTTGTTCGAATCTGTTCAGTAGTTTGGATGAAATTATTTGATCACTGTGAATTTCGGCCCGTTTGCCATATAACTATGGCAAAAACAAACAATGACAAAATTCAAACAATTTTCGTGAGCGAAACATCGTTACTCGTTAGATACTAATAATACGAGTACCAAGTTTCATCGAGTTAAGTTCATTAGTTTGAGAGACATTCCTTGATCAATAAATTTTGAAATTGGCCGTGAGACCGGCCGCGAGTCCGGCCGTTAATTTGTCCAATACGTAAACCCAGGAGAGGTTAAAAAACAGATGTGGGTGAAAAAAACCATCGCTGGGAGTCAGGTGCTGCACGCGTTGTGTACAAATCGTCAAACAACGTTCGCACTTCTGACATTGACTTCGGACTATCGCCCCCCTATCGCCCCCCTACCGTCCTCTTCTTTCTTACCGCCCCCCAAAATCTTTCCACCGCCCCTAGGGGGGCGATATCGCCCACTTTGGGAACCACTGGTCTATCTGATGTTCAGGGGATGAAGTATCAAAAACCCGTCTCCCTTTGGTATCTCTTCCCGCCTGCGGGCTGAGTCTAAGGTGATGAAAGCGACAGTTATCTTGTTTGCAAGCGACATTTTTTATGGTATTCCAGCACAATAACGGGTGGTAGAATGGGCAGTATTTCCCATTTTTGCATCCACGTGGGGTTTTGCTTCCAAATGTTGTAAATTTGTGACAAATCTTAGGGTGAGGGTACACACAGCTCAGTCCTTTATTTTCCTGATTGCAATTTCCCTGAAGATACCTCCAGCAGATGTGTTTGTGACCTGACGGAGTGGCAGCCGAGTCATTTAAATTTAAACGGCCTGCAGGAGTGTGTGTTGTGTGAGGGAGAGGAAGGGTTACCCTTTCCCCATCCTTCTCTGGGCTGCTGCGGTCAAAAGGTGGGGTGTGAGTAAAGGGTAAGGGAGGCGGGCGGGGTATGATTTCGGACAGCGTTGGGGCAGGCGGGGGTAGAGGGAGTAGAGGACGGCAACGCCTGGGCGCTTCGGTCGAGGGAAGCGGTTGCGTTAGGCCTAGTTTGAATGTCTTCACTCACGGCAACATCAGCAATACAGTAAGACTTAGGCTGGAGATGAATCCTTAACGAAAAGCAGTTTCATGACTTGCAGTAACCAAAATTTCCCCATGACAGTTGCGCATGAGACCTTAAACCGTATAAAAATACAAATACAGTAAATTCTGACGTTTTTCTGTTCCTTACCTCCAATATTTATCCAAAATTAACCGAATTCTTTCGTGTTCACTGCAACACACCCACGGTACTTCCTGCACCAGTATAGTATAGACGCTAGAGCGTAGACTCTCCCGTGCATGCCCACTGCGCAGTGCGGCCCGTGCATGCGCAGGGCAGTTACTTGCATTTGAGAAGCATGTGAGTTCTGCAATACGTTCAGTCGTATTCGTTACCGTTTGGCATTCATTTGGTATATCTATTATTTTGTGCATTTATTTTTATTTTTTACTTTCAGATCATTCACTGATTTCACGTTTGTCATCGAATTTATGTCAATTAACTGAATACACATGATACTGGATGGAACTAGTTTCACAAATACTGGCAACATGGATTCGCTGTAGTATAGAATAAAACTGTCGAAAATAAAAAATCTAGAAAATAAAGAATCATGTAAACCTCATAATTTTAGAGAAATCAAATAAAAGAATAATTCAATCTGTTTCTTCCGGTATAAGCTCCACACAAATATTCATGCCTAGAATGTTCTTTCAATATTCCTCCGCCTTCCTCACCCTTCACCCCCTTCCTCTCCCTGCCTCCTCAAAGCTTGAACCGTTACCGCCGGCATATTCGACGTAGGTCGCGGTAGAGCTGCGGCAAGTTGCCTGCCGCAGCTTTTGCCGACTGAGGCCTCGCGCTGTTCGAGGCAGATGAGGCCATATCATCGCTAGACTGCTTGGACGCAAGGTGAAGTCGGCCAAAACGGCCTAGATTTGTGCGTCTGCAAACGTCTCTGCGGCGAACGGCCGCAATGACTGCGAGAATTTCGAACTGGGTAATTATCTGACCATCGTTCTATCTATGGCATCACCAGCTGCTAAGTCCACAAATTGAAATATGAGCATTTAATTGAAGGTTTTGACTCAAACAATAGAACTGACGCTCTTTCCACATTTTCTTCAAAAGGTGGAAGTATAAATATATATATTTATTTATTTTGGCAACTTGATTAAATTTAATTAAATTATATTTTTATGTTTCTAATTTTTCATTTGCATAAACTGAATTTTAATTATAAAGAAAAATTTTGTGTACTGATCGCATTTATTGAATTTTTCAAGTGCAATTTAAACCTTCAATAGGCAAAATTTGCAAAAATTCATAAAAATAAATATATTGTATAATATTTCTTACTTTCTTGAAATGGTTTCTGAAATTTTAATTTCTGGATATTTCAATGCTTGCCCGCTAAAAGGTTAATGCCCATTGACAAAATTTTTCTATGTCAAATAGTTTTTGAGTTTTGTGGGTTTTTGTTAAAAAACTTAAAGTGGTCAAACTTACCCTGGGAATCGAAGTAACCCCCTTTTACGGTACATAACATTTAAAAATATCATACATTATAACATAACACATTATAACACATCACAACACTTATAACAAATTGTAATATAAACCAATGCATCATAACAAAGCATAATCTTTTATGTTATTTTATGTTCTGTTATGTTATTTTCTGTGCTGTGTTATGTTGTGCTATAATGTGTCCTGTAATACTATCATATGTTATGTTATGTTAAAATTTTTTATATCGTGATGCGTTTAGTTACATTATGTGTTACATTATGATGTGTAATGTTATGTGGTTACAATGTGTTCTTTCATGTTATGTTGTGTTATAACATGTGATGTTATGTTTTGTTACATTATATTCTGTTGAATTATAATGTGTAGTATTGTGTTATGCATTGTGTTTTTATGTTGAGTTTAATGCCATATTGATCATAATGCGCATGCATTGGTGTTCATCATCAGGGATTGGTTACATCGATCGTAAAGTGCAAGCATCAGAATTGATCATTATGCATCGGCCACATTGATCATTAAATGTGTGCATCCGTGTCGATCGTCAGGCATCAACTACATTGGTCATAAAGTGGGTGTGTATGTGTTGATCATCAGGCACTGGCTGCATCAAGCGCGAAGTGCGAGCATCAGAATCGATAATTGGGCATTGGTCACATCAATCATCAAATGCTTGCATCCATGTCAATCATGCCGCATCATTCACAAAGCACGAGCATTGGCCGCATCAATTGTGAAATGCGTGTTGATCTTTGTTGCTAATTGGCTTTCATCTGTTTCGATTAACATACCTACTTATTAAAGCTAAAGCTAAGTCAGTTGAAGAGTTGGTAGAAAGAGTGGGTCAGAGTTGGTTGAAAGCTAAAAATTAACTTTCAATGCACTGAATTGATTCAAAGTGCTAAAAAAATTATAACAATGCATGAAAAATGTTAATATCAATATATAATTTAGTCTTTGTTGGTTGTAATTCGACAAAATGATGCATGTACAGATGGTAGAAAGTAGCATTCAGATTGCTAAATAATATTAAAGGGGAAAAAAACTATTAGTTCAAGATCGGTTTTGATTTAACAAAAGTATGCATGGAAAATTTTTAATGGAAATTATCTCAGAAGTATCAATTTGGTCAATTAAAATTTACCAGAATTTCCTCTACCTTTGGTTTAAAAGTTCTTCAAACAAACCCTAATTCAATGTTATAATCATCATGATAAAATTTTCAAACAAGAAAATTAAAAACAAATAAAAATTAGGAAGGAAAAAATTCATTGAATTTTTAGGTGTTTTCATTTTAAAAAACAATGGGCTGTTAAGGTTATGTCATAATATGATTATCTATGTTTACATGCTATAATATACGTAGTTTATGGATCAAATCAGTAGAACAGTCCATTTTTAGCTGCATTTTTTTGAAAAATTCCTGTAAAATGATTTTTTCTCATCAGAGAATTTGCCAGGTTTGCCTAATATTCTAGATTGGCATTTACTTTGCTTCATGTCACTAAAAATCTGTTGTGGAATACAAATACAGATCTGGTATGGCCTTTCAACTTTTCAAGCCTGCAACTCATGGCCAATTTAGAATATCATGCAGAAGTTTCCTTATATTGCAGGCAAAAATTATTTTTTCATGAGTAATTCTCAAACCTGGGTGAAAAAAGGCTTCTTCGTATTTTTTTTTACTGAAGAAATTGTATAAAAGCCATAGGAACGGGTTGTTGCAGGGAGCATAATTAAGCTAGGTTTTAGCACATCCCTTACTGCCTTCTTCCATTTAGCTGATTTTAACCTATTCTTGATGTATTCATTATTAACATTGCCATGTTTTTCTTGTCTCGTTCCAGCATCAAATTATTTTCCATTACCAGTGTCATTGCCTTGATGTGAAGCTGTGGTAATTTGTCTGATCAATTGGGAATTCAGAAGGCTATTATTGCTTGTTAGAAAGACTGTTGCCAAGGTGAGTTGACTGCTGTTGTTATCCCTTCAGGCTAATGGTAAGATGATGCTAAGTGTCTGAGCGTCACTGTCTTGCTTAAGTCTTTCTTACTTAAGCTTCATTTTCACAATTTCCAATAGAGGCTTTTGGTTCTTAATTTAACTGTTGTCATTGCAAGGTTTTTCTGAATGTGCATTTTATTATGTGATTGTATTATGTGTTTATTTAGTCTGTACCAGCTATTCTGTCCCATGTTTGTGATGCTTTTCTAAAGTGCCGATATGATTCATTAACATTTTAGTCAAGTTATATTATTTATTCAGTAATTATCTACAGTCATTAAGTTCAGAGTTTTAACCTTGAAATCTTGATTTGTTTATTGTACCTTCATTAACTATGATTCTGTTTTCTGTTCCACTAATTAATGCTTCAAGCATGTTTATTGTCTTAATTGGCATGATGGCCATGAGTGGTTAAATTACCTACCTTAAAATAGTTCTCATGTTCCAAAGTCTTATCATGAGTGTTGCCAATTTAATTTTCATCAATTAATTTTAATTATGCTTTTCAGTTAACTGGCACACAAACCACCTCCGCCTGCCCATGCTCTAAAGTCTTAATTTCTAGTTCACTTTTAGCATAACCACTCACAAATCACACCACTTTTATTAGTCCTTATCCATAGTTTGTTTTGTTTACTTCAGTCACTTGTTTTGATAGATTTTGTACAAGATCCCTTAATTAATTTTATAGAGAAAGTGTTTCATTATCCTTTCACTTAGATAGTTACCTCTAAATTCATAAGCAGACAACGAGTTTGTCTCACCCGCTAGAGACACACGGTAACAGGGTGAAATTGGCCAGATTCATGGGCATGTTTGTCCAATTCACTTGTGGCTTCTGCCAAATTTTCCAGTTAGGACTCATGTTAATGCTGGCATATGAAGGAATTTTTAATAGTTAAAAAAGTGCATGAACATGCTGCATGCAGCATTATTCATAATTTATTGAAAATATGCTATTTAACAGCTCCAAATACCAATATCAATGAAGTGCTAAATTTTAAAACTTGTATGCAAGATTAGTTTTGTCTTTAGCAGTTAGCCTGGCACCAAGTTTAAATTCAGTAGTGGTTCCACTGTAAGTTACTAGGTTGGATCAATCATGAAGATATGAACCACCATTCCAAGAATTCCACCCTGCCTGTCACATTTGCATCTGTTCTTAATTGTTAATTACATAGATGTTGGATGCAATTTCCTTTAAATCTATGTGGGAAATGTCTCCTGAGTTTAGTTGCTGCTTTGTCATAAATTTCATATCTTTTACATATTTTCAGGTTCAATAAGCCAGGTCACAATGGCAGTCAACAGTTCCTGGGACGTTCAGAAGTATAGGTCAAGATTTGAGCCAACCTGCCATTGGAAGCTCAAGGAAGAGTTTATGCTGGCTCACCAGCAGCACATAGAAGAGGAGCAGCTTGTTTGTCTTGCCAATGTCAGTGAAGCTTTATTTATAGCTTATTATATTTCTATTATTATTATTTTATTCTACTATGGGAACTGAGATTCATGTAGAAAATTCCCCATTGACCACAGAATACAATATTTACCTTTATAAAACTTCTTAAATTTTGTTAGTGTTTGTCCCGCCAATGTTGGTGAGATTTTACTTTTATTGCTTATTTAATTTACACTCCTTTTATTGGCTAGTGTTCTATTCTTTTGATTGTTTACTCATTTTGCATACCGGTACTCTCTATTGACTACAGAAAAAAATATACTTGAATTATTTGGATTAAATTTGCTTAAATTTTGTTCATGTTCAAAACAGTTATTAATAAATTATTAACAAGTCCCATTAATAAAAAATTATTAAACCCATTACGTAATTACAAAGCTATTCATACAACTTTCATTTGACTATGACTTCTAATTATGATAAAACTATTTAGATTCAAATTTATCTATACCAATTTAAAAATTAAATTCCAAATTTTGGTCCCATCCTTTACTCTTGCCATTTATTGCCTTTCTATTCTCTCACTAATAATAAATTTTCTGGTCAAAGTAATAGCATGACACAAGTACATATATTAACACATGCCGTAACAACCCTTATGATATTTATTGTGCCAGGCTTCAAACAAACGTAATTTGACTAATGTTTAATGGATGGCAGTACTTCAATTGAAATTTATTCATGTTGATATATGAAGTCTTGAAACATATTTCAAAACTGCTTTAGTAACATTTAACTCTTTAATTACTTTTGTTTGTATCCTATAACTATTTCAAAATTGAGTTTTTAACAATCTCTTCGTAACATATTTTTGGACTACCGGTAATTAAAAAAATTGATTCATAATTCAGTGTTGCAATACTGCATTAGAATCCTTGAATAAACCTCTGGTAGCCTAGGCATAAACTGATCTGCTTACTTTTTTTTTTCTTGATTTAAAAGCTACTGATTAAATTTTGAGTGCATGTGAACATGCAAGCCTGAATGTTGTAGCTCCTCTTTTTCTACATCTCATGGCAAGGTTGTCAGAAATTTTTTCATATATTCTCATCTCTGTGGATTGATTTAACTCAAAATTGTATTAGAAACCACAAGAATGACATTAGGCACACCCTAAAATTAATTATATTTTTTCAGGTGTACATGAATATGCAAATTTTGGGCTGCCATTACCCTTCAAAGTTAGCATCGCAGGTCCAGAAGCTAAGCAAGAACATAGGAGACTCGTACAAGCAGCAGCGAGACAGTAAACTCTCTCGCTATTTTGTCAAGGCTTCAGATGCGGCAACCGCAAAGATCCGGAGAACTGATGCGCCCACATCCAGATCAACAGTTGAAGATGACCATGCTGCTCCTGTTAACTATGATTCATTGGGAAATTATTCCAAACTGAATCTAAAGACCAAAAAACGGGAGAAACAGAGCAGTGACACGTACCAAACAGATGTTGATGTGGTACAAGTAGAGCAGAAAATAAAAAAGAAGAAAAAGGCAAAGAGTCCAATTTTAAAGCCTGATTGCGATGAAAAGCTGAGCCAGGAAATCATTGAAGATGTAAATGAGACCCCTAATAATGATGTTTACAATCCGGAATGCAAAGAAAAGGAAAAGAAGAAGAAAAATAAGTCATCATCAACTGAATGCAATGAAAATGATACAGACTGTGTTGAAGTTGTTGCTGTCATTCCCTCGACCAAAAAAACTAAAAAGACCAATAAATTAAATGCTGTGAACAGTAATTCTTCAAATGTTCCAAGTGTTGAGGTAAATGAGACTGCAGAGAGAAAAAGAAAAAGGAAAGCTGGGCTTGAAGAAGAGTTTGAGGATCCCTCCAATTCTGCTGTTGAAGTTGAATCTCCATCTCGAGAAACTAAAAAGATTAAAAAGAAGAAAAGGAAATTAGAAATTGAAAGGATTGAAGATGAAAGTCCACCAAATAAACCAAATGGAAAACAAAATTTAAATTTGCAGGTGAATTCTGAATTACCATTAAATCAGGAATTTCCACTCACCATTCCACAGAAGAAGAAGAAAGTTCTCATTTCTTTTCCTGAGGTTGAAAACCCTGAATTGAAACGTGTTTTGGCAGGTAGGCCATTACACAAGTTCTTTAGAAGACAGGACCGAGCTGCAACCTTGATTCTGCAATCAATGGCAATGAACCAGAATGGATCAGTTGGCTGTGGTTACCAAGTGAAGTGTGTAAGGCATCATATTGCTTACGTTAACAACGTGGAAGTGGCGAGAAGGCCGTTTAGGAGTCACGAAAACAAGTCTGTGGCTTTGGAAATGCTTGCACGTGATGCCCTAGTGATCATGTCTAAGTATTGCCCATTGCTTTTACAAAAAAAGCGTTCTTGTGAAACTAACGTAGAATCCGATGATTTGATTGGGAAAAAAATTGGTAAAAACTCAGGTGAATCAGAACCCCAACTTGATGAGGATGAACAATCTGCTTTGTCACGACCCATCTCGAGCAGTAATGTGGGTAGCCGCCTACTTCAACTCATGGGCTGGACTGGTGGTGGCCTTGGAAAAAACGAAACTGGTCGAGTTGATCCGGTGGAAGCTGCCATGAGACACGGACGGTCAGGACTAGGCTTCAAAGACTCAATTTCCCAAATGGCAACAAAACCAATTTTCAAGGCTAAAATCGAGAATCTATTGCGCCAATTCAAGCGAGAATTCGAGGCAGGTTGCGCAGAAAGGGAGGAGCTTGTTTTTCCATCGGTATTTTCCAAAGACCAACGTGCACTTGTGCATAGTGTTGCACAACGCCTGAGCTTGAAGTCTGTAAGCTATGGTTCTGGTGAAGCGAGATACTTGGTGGTAAAACCAATGATTACGCACCAGTGTAGGGTGCAGCAGATACTTGAAAATGGCGGAGAAAATGAGCTATATAAGGTGTACCCAGCTGGCACTTATGACCTCAGTGTTCTAGATCTCCTTGACTAGCTTCATGGAAATCATGTGAATAAAAGGCTAGAATTTGCTCAGTTGATAATTACTTTTGATTTGGTTTCACACATGTACTTGTGTTGTTGAGTTTAGTTCATGAATGTACATATTTACTACCCCTTGTCAGTCAACAGCGTTCATAACCCATGACCTCCTCTGCAACAGTTGCCAGCTAGGAATTTGAAACTCCCCCCAAGTTGTAATTCATTTGACGTACAGGGATCATATTTTTTAAAACTGGCCTTAAGCCAATGTGTACTTGAGCCCATGGGCTTGAGTACACTTGGGCTCAAGTACACATGGGCTTAAGTACACATTGGCTTAAGCACACATTGGCTTAAGTACATGTAGCGGCAGATTTCTCAACTGTGATTGGTGGGTTAAGCTTGAAAAGCCGTCAGTGATTGGCTAAGATGGGAAATCTTAATTCTTTTTGGTGGTGCCGCCCTAGGAATTCTTAGGTAAAAAAAGTAGGGTGTAAATTTCTTAAAAATTGGAAACTGAATTTTTTTCTGCTAAAATAATTGTGAATCCGTTTTTTTTATGAAGACTACTTTTTTTGTGTGTGGAAATGAAGCTTTAAAATAATTTTCTGTTCACTTAGGTATGCATCAAGAAATTTTTAAAGCTTGTTTCATAACTCAAAAGGAGTGCTGGAGTGGATTAATCTACAATGTATTCACATACACGATTTGTCTGTGTTAATGAACTTTATTTATTCCCATTCCATGTTTGTGTGTCCTCAGGGGGATGTTACACAGAGAACACAAGGTGAATCAAATGATATACAGGATGGTCTTTATACTTTTAAAATCGTCAAATGATAAATCTAATTACCTATTGAATACAGAACATGAATACATTCTGTATATACACACTATATACATACCTGGTACTGTATATACACACTATATACATACCTGGTACTGTATATACACACTATATACATACTCTATGTACACACTCTATATACACACTGTATGTACACACTGTATATACATCCGGTATATACCCATTGTTTATACACACTGTATATACATCCTGTAAATACATCCTGTAAATACATCTTGTATATACACATGTGTGTTCTCTGTGTGCCATTGAAGGGAGTGTGTGCGACCCCTGGGCTGCCCCAGCGCACACTCAGTACAATAATGGGGTAATGTTGTCCGAATATTGCCCCCACTTGCTGTCTGTACGTAGCAGTCATACATGGGTCACCATAATACACATAAAGTAAAACAAGAGCATCCATATATGGACAAAATCTCGTCGATATCTCTGAGTATGAGATATCATGGTAATCAATATTAATTTGTGATTAAACCTATCGACGTTTTTTATTGCTTACACAATCATTTAGTTTATTTTATATATATAATATAGTTATTTATATAGTTTATATTCCATCATTGTAATTTATTGAATGTATGGAAAATGTATTTGGTAAATCTTATATTATTGAGAGTGCCATAAATTAAGTAAAAAGGCAGTAAATAAGCAAAACTATTAACAGTTTCATCATATAATTTAGTGAACAAGTGAATATAAGAAAGTATATATCACATAAAAATAAGGAAGTATATACCACATAATCATGTCAGACACGAGATGTCAGCTCATGGCCGCTGTCCCTCATGGCCTCCACATGGCCGTCCATGTTGGCCACAATGTTGGTAAGTTTGTTCCTAAGCAAATATATATTAAAAATATATACAATTTACTTAATGAACATATAAATATTAGCTATAACTTGTATATATTATGTAAATATAACTAATTATTTTGTAAAGTTATATATATATATAACTTTATACTGATTTAGAATTACACATCTCGTTATTTTGTAGAGTTCCAGTTCATCATAATAATATCAAAAATTTGATGTAATAACCAAAGTATTAATATTAATAGTGAACAACTCATATATATGGCATGACATGAATATGGAGCAGTGAGGTACAGGTTCACACCCCAGCTAGCTGTGAAAACATGGCTAAGTTAGCAGAAGTGTGACTAGAATTGCCTGAACTATCAATTTATGTTATTATTTTTATTTTAAAGTAAAAAACTCCTTTAACCTGTAAAAAATTCTACACTTTTTTCACTGCTTCCAGAGAAATGCTAATCAGTAATCAGTTTAATTTTATCTACAAATTTTTAATTTTAATTTAAATTCCATTAAAATAATTTCTGATTTTAATTGAAATTTTAAATGTAAAAAATGTTAAATTTTAATGGAATTTTTAATTATTAAAAATTGACATTTGAAGCAATTTTAAAGTTGAAAATATTATAATTTAAATGTAACATTTTCTAAATTTAAAATTCTAAGATTTTCCCACTAATTTGCTAATATTTGCCTAAATTTTCTGTATAAACTAAAATGTTATCTGCAGATGTAGGTACTCCCTTTGTCTAGTATTCCTTCTTCTAAAGAAATGCATTACAAGACAATATATTGAGTTAAACTCAAAAATTTTCTTGTATATATTTTTCTACATAAAGGCATGCATCACAACATTGCAGCATACACTCAGAGATATAAGGATACTTTGTCCAAATAGTGATGAATTTTATGGCCTTGTGTGGGTCATCCTGACGCAGTTTGGCATAAGCACATATCAGTGCTACGTCAAGTGTGTCACTATTTCGACAATATAACCTGCTTTTTTTTAATATGCTCATTGTTAAATGTTATAACATATACCTATAACATATATAATTATTTTAATATGCCTGTCTGATATTATATAGCATATATTATATATTCATTTTAATATGCCTGTTGTTTCATATTATATAGCATATATTATATATATATTTTAATATACCTGTTGTTGCAGGGCTCGTGACGCTGACGCTCTACACCAACGTCGGCAACGTCGCTGACGTCAGAGCGCGCGTTGTGAGCACCCACCTGACGGCGGCCCTGCTGCGCCCCTCCATGGTCTGTGCCTTCACTAATGTCGCCATGGCATTTGTGTTGCCATGGCGTTTATGTTGCCATGGCATTTATGTTGCCATGGCATTTGTGTTGCCATGACATTTATGTCGCCATGGCATTTATGTCGCCATGGCATTTATGTTGCCATGGCATTTATGTTACCATGGCATTTATGTTGCCACGACGGCATTTATGCTGTCTCTTATACACATCTAGATGTGTATAAGAGACAGGCATTTATGTCGCCATGGCATTTATGTTGCCATGGCATTTATGTTGCCCTGTCTCTTATACACATCTAGATGTGTATAAGAGACAGGCATTTATGTTGCCACGGCCTTTATGTCGCCACGGCATTTATGTTGCCATGGCATTTATGTTGCCATGGCATTGGCATTTATGTTGCCATGGCATTTATGTTACCATGGCATTTATGTCGCCATGGCATTTATGTCGCCATGGCATTTGTGTTGCTAGCCTTTAGGAGAAATGATCTGTTAAAATTAATACCTATAACTGGAATTTTGACATTTGTTGATGTTTTGAATTATAATATAATATGAATATATGTATATATTATACAATTATGATATAATATACCTATATATATATGAAAATTTATAAATATATGTATATATAAGTATAATTTTAATATAATATAAATTTATGGATATATGTATATATAAATTTTAATCATAATATAATATATATTATAAGATTTATATGTGCAATTTCCCAATTTAATTGGACTGAATCCTAGAACATGTAAACAGAACTATGATGAGAAGCGCCATCATTATCAGCAGCCATCATTGATACGTAGTAGTTTGGGGACCTCTAAACCCTCTATGTAGTTTTATCCTCCAATCCCCACCTCCCCAGGTAGTGGGGTGCTGTCTCAACACCCCCACCCCTTCCCCAGGTTGCTGGGCGCTGTCTTAACACCCCCACCCCTTCCCCAGGTTGAGGGGCGCTGTCTTAACACCCCCACAGGGTGCTGTCTTAACACCCCCACCCCTTCCTCAGGTTGTGGGGTGCTGTCTTAACACCCCCACCCCTTCCCCAGGTAGTGGGGTGCTGTCTTAACACCCCCATCCCTTCCCCAGGTAGTGGGGTGCCGTCTTAACACCCCCACCCCTTCCCCAGGTTGTGGGGTGCCGTCTTAACACCCCCACCCCTTCCCCAGGTTGTGGGGTGCTGTCTTAACACCCCCACCCCTTAGGGGGTTTGTTTCGAAACCCCTTTCATTAATTCCCCCATCCCCCACCCCCAGGTTGGAGGCGTCCTGTGTGGGTTGTCCGCTGCGAGGTCGGCCATTTTGTCGCAGGCGCGTGACGTCATGAAGACGCGGTCGCTTGCAACAGAAATAATTTTCAACCTCGCCCCCCACACCAAAATATCCCCCGCCCTTCAGCAGTTCGGTATCCGAGACACCGACACGGATATCCTCGCCATCACTGTGGATATCGTCCCCAAAGAGAAATTCAAAGAAATTAATTTCGAATCTGGGTTTGAAGTTGATGAAAATTTGACTCCGAATGCCGCCATCTTGAAATCCGTACTGCAAGGAGATGTTGTTGATATTGAATTACTTGAGGGACTCAAAGACCGAGAAAGCATTACCAAGTTGTACAAATTAACTGCAGAAGAACTCAGTTTAGATGATATTGAACGCTGTTGTATTTCCAGAATGGCTTGTAAAGGCTTCTTATAGCCGTACAGTTAAAGTTCAGTAAATGTTATTCTGTTCAAATGGCTTTTTTTTTATCTTGGATGGCATTTGCACTTTTGTGTTCGGTGCACATAGAAGTTTTTGGTGATGATTGCTTGAAATTCCCTTGATTTGATGGCTCTTAACATCGCACAGCTTAGTTCGACGTAGATGGCATGTGAGACGCAGACTCACATGCCTATATGAATATATTGCTTAGTCATTATATTCGTTCCCATCCTTTCTTGCGTCTGTTTATCTGTTTATTTTTCGCTTGCTATTAATCTCATTTGTGACGTGCCCTCGAAGTTCGTTTCAACCAGACGTCACGATAATTGCTTTGTAGAATAATGATAATAATGCCATCTACAATCTGGATGACCTAAGAACCACATGCGGGAGGCTCACAATGAGACCATCACCCGAGCGACATTGGAGGCCTGCACCAGTATAGTTATGCGGTGCCCCGACCCATCGAGATTGACGAGAGCTGAGGCCCTCATTATCAGGAGCTGAGGCCCTTATTATCAAGAGCTGAGGCCATCATCAAGAGTTGAGATCATCGTTATCAGGAGCTGAGGCCATCGTTATCAGGAGCTGAGGCCATCATCAAGAGCTGAGGCCATCATCAAGAGTTGAGGTCATCGTTATCAGGGGCTGAGGCCATCGTTATCAGGAGCTGAGGCCATCATCAAGAGCTGAGGCCATCATCAAGAGTTGAGGTCATCGTTATCAGGAGCTGAGGCCATCGTTATCAGGAGCTGAGGCCATCATCAAGAGCTGAGGCCATCATCAAGAGTTGAGGTCATCGTTATCAGGGGCTGAGGCCATCGTTATCAGGAGCTGAGGCCATCATCAAGAGCTGAGGCCATCATCAAGAGTTGAGGTCATCGTTATCAGG